GACCAGGATATAACACAACAGGTTTAAGTAACCTATTGGGAAATCCAGTATTTCAGGAATGTATATATGATCACAAAAATCTGCCTGAAACTGCTGCTGAAATCAGTGAGACAAATCCTGAAGTCCAGAATCATGTATACGATGGTGAAATTTGGCTGAACCATTAATGTGCAAATAAGCACCCTGGTTCTATAAACCATTCCACATGTGCTTCACTTTAAGTACATTCCCAAGGACAGTGGGGAATTAGCAACAGTCAGTGAGATTTCACTGTCTTTAAGTTAAGTACATTTGCAAATGTTCACAGGACTGCACCATAGTATAAACAGCTATCTAGCTAACTGAGAAGCAACAAATATCCAGGTATTTTTATAATTCTTCAAAGTAAAAATTTTAAAGAGCAATGTGTTAGCTTCTTTTTTAAAAGCCCCTCCCCTCAAACTTAATTTCTGCCCTCCTGACCTCTTTGACAGCTCTTTTATCTCACTTATTTTCTCAAGAAAACCATTATCTTAATGAAAAACCAATAAATACAATCCTAAACCTATTTAAAAATTAGGAACCAGAAATTAGAGTTGTCTTGTATGTTATGACAAATAATATAAAACTATGCTAATAGTCTTTTGAGTTTAAAGGCAGCCTTGGGGTCTTCATGTGTGTATATGTAATAAATCATCCATTGAAAAGATAATTACTGCATTACTGAGGGGAAAAAACTAGCTTGATAGCAATTATACTAAACTATTCAAATGGAAGTGCACACAGATGGTTCTTTGTTATCCAACACACTTTAGTAAGAGAGTTGTTTCATTACATTAGTTCACTCAGTTAAAAGGAAATAATCAGGATCTTGTTATTAATCACAGTAATACCACATTGGCTTTATAAACTGAGGAGGTTTTTGACTGCAAAAACAAATTGGAACAAAAAAGGCTGATTAGGCACTTAGATCAGAATTTTCAAAAATGGTGAGAGCTGGATGATGTCTGGGAGAAAAGGGTGATCTTTCTTGGCTGCCCTGAATATAACACCAGTTTTTAGGAAGCTGTTTGACTGTGGGAAGGAGTTTAAAATACATCTCCAGTATTGCTTACTCTGGCAAGGCTTTGGCCCCTACCACCATGGCATATGGCAGCATAATTTTCAGAAAGGTGCAATTTAACATGAAAATATGCGCATGCATAGGTCTATTTGACTATTCCCCATTCTGCAGTTCATTCCCATTTTTTGAGCAAACACATGACCCCTTTCCCCACACCCAACAAGCAAAACTCCACAGGTCTTCCATCTCAACATTGCTGTTGGCATCCTCAAGGTTTATGTCGTGTGGATAGCAAGCTCTCTCTAGATTCTTGTTTCCCCCTACCACATTCTACTAAAAAGGCACATCTGCTCCTCACAGCTGCTCCCAAGAGGGTAAACGAAGCTGTCTGGGGCAATTAGTAACAAAGCAACCTCCTTAAAAGTGATATGTTATTTCTGCAGATATAAGCAGTTTGAGGCAAATACAAAAACAATAAAACAGACTACAGTATATGCATTCCTAGCTTACCATATCCCACATGAGTATACTAATTCCCTAGAGACTCTCACATAGGGTCTCTTGCTGTGTAAACTTGATCCCCTGCCAGAGCTCATGAACAGTTCTCTAGACAAACCTGACAACTTCACCCCCTCACACTCCCTTGGCTTGAGGAAGCCATTGCATTATCTTTATATATAGTTCCCATTGAATTTGATCATTGTAGATGTCTACTACCTGCAGTAAGAAGCAAGATCAAAAACCAACAATAACTTTTCTTCAGTGACCCCCCCTATGTACAGTACTCATAAAACTATTACATCTTAGTATGCCCAAATTTATTACATATTAACTCCACACTGGTAACAAATACTATTACCTTTTTATCCACCATAACAAGCTCAGAGGGTTGGGGATGATACTGAATCCTCTCCTTTAGACAGCCATAATGCTGAGTTGCAGATCATGTCACTTTTTCCAGATGCTGAAAGACTTTGCACTTAATAGCCAGGATGCCTATTGTGGCACATATCATTCAGGCAGTTTCTCCAGAAATGGTTAAGGAGAATGTGTATCTAATAAATAGTGTGCAACATGTGTGTCTAATAAAACGCTTCGCCTCTATACGTCTCATCCTCATATGTCTCTATCAAGAAGAAGTCCTCAAGATTTGGCTTCTAATTCTGCTGTCTTGCTCTGCTCCTTTCTTTTTTTCTCTGCTCCACCTTCTTCTACTGGGTATCTATGACTTGCCCTCACAGGTCTGACTGCAGGTACACATCATTCCCTTCTACACCTTTTCCATTTCTTTTTTTCCCCAGTCATCTGACCCAACCCTACCTTCTCTGCTATTATTTTCCTCCAGTACCTCAAACCCACAACCTGAATGAGGGATTTGCACAGTGTTGCTATTAAGAAGTCAGGAAGCATGTATGCCACAAAGTCTAATGGAGAAATGCTCTGATGATGGTTCACATGTATTCCCCTGTGATAGAAGTGGCAGATTTTGAAAATTTTGCTTGTGTTCTTCAAAGCAGCACTATTTCCCCTTTGGTACACTTGGCTGGCTACTGTGTATCGTCTTATAACTGGATGATTTTTTTTAAGTACATTAACTAAATTATCCAAAGTTGCTACGTGGGTTTTGACACAAGTTATCCACTTACTCTCTCCTCTCTCAAAGTGTATCTTGGCAGCTTCTTGTGTCCCTGCAAAGAAACCAATGGCCCTTATATCCATAAGCCAAAACCACCACTAAGAGACTTCAGTTTACCCTTCCCTCTTGCCTGCCTTCCTTGCTCAGTTCTCTCCAGCATGTTCCTTAGTATCTGCTTGTTTTCTCTCTGTGTTTCTTTCCTTGTTTGTTGGTACAGCCTGTAAATCCCTTGCCTGTTACTCTATTCACCACTCCAAAGGTAGAAAGATCCTTTGCGACCACTTACGCCCACTTTGTGAAAATGCCATAAAAGTGCTAGCCTTATAACCTTGAAGATAACTAAATCAAAAAAGCCTCCAAGTTTCAAAGTAAGTCATTATAGATGTATGGACTGTACAAAATCAAAGGAAGGAAAGTTCTGCTTAATTTCATTGACTAATACCGATAAGGAATTCAAATTCATTTTAAATTGACATTCCTGCTTAACACTTCATATTTAGTGAGATCATGCTTTTGAATGTATATGCTTGACTTGGAGGGTAACTCTGCAAAGACTTACTAGAGGTTAACCTCTTCTTGGACATGAAGCTAGGAACTGCTCTTTTCTGAGGACTAATTCTGCTCTTGGTTATAATAAATGTAAAATGGGAAAAACTATATTAAACTAAATGGAACTACCAAAGTAATATACCTATAAATAAGTCCAGAATCAGGTCCATTTTTCTCAACAGCATAATGACACTGGGTTCCCATTCACTTCTAAACACATTTTTTTAAAGTACACATATAGAAAATAATTATTCGGTGATGGATGGAAAAATATATATTCCACAGTGCTTTAAACAGCATATATTCATGGGCAAAAAATAAAATGGGGGTCATGCTTTAAACAACTTCAGAAAAAGTTCAGAAAAAGGTTCAGCAACAACAACAAAACCCTTTAAGAAAATATTTAAATTTTCTCAGAAAAAATGCAAAGTTTAGAAAACCTAGAATTAAAAGTAAAAATTCTGTTTCAATAATGAAAATAGGGAAAAGTTCAGTGAAGTCAACTGTCAAAGACGTCCTATTTAAATTCACATAGTTCTACCTTATTAAAGGCTTGATTCTGCCACCAAACAAGCCCCAGGGCCTGTATTAGCTGTCTAAAGCCTCAGAGTGATGTACTGAGTTATCTGAAAAACCCACTCAGTTCAAAGTCAACTTCTATGGATGTGTGGAGGCCTCCATGGAATGGTAGTGAGCATATCACACAGGAGTACATAGCCTTGCAACACTGCATGGAGGGGCATTTCATTTGAGGTCGTATCTCCAACTTTGAGGTTCAGACATCATGAGCTGGGCTGGCCAGCCTTAAAACGTGCCCCCGTTACCATTGGGCTGCCTAGTTTTGCCATTCGTAATACAGCTTCATCATCTCTTCTGGGCATTTATACGCATGCATTTGTCTACTCCAACACACTGGAGAATTGGCATATCGGAGCAGACTCAATCAATCGAGTCTCGAATCTGCTGTGCATGCAAGCTGACATGCCCAGAGCCGCATCACATGCATTTGCATAAATAGCAAAACATGCATCAGCGCTGAGAAAATGGCAGTGGTACACTTTTGAACTAAAACACCTTCAATGTGTATTAGTTCAAAAGCTTGCTGCTGCCATTATCTCAGAGCTGATGTGCATTTTGCTGTTTATACACATGCATGGGCCACAGCACCAAGTGCTTTTAAAAGCATCTGGTGTTGCAGCGCAAGCATGTGTACCAATGCCATCTACTCGATCCCTGTCTGTGTGGATGACTCCTAGACTTGCAACCAGTGGGCATAGAGTATAAAAGGGGTTCTGTTGCCATGCTATATTCTGCACTATTTTGGATCCAAGCTATGTAGTAGAGCTATACCTTGCATCAATTACAGGATTAAACCCTATTGCTCACAGCAGCTTAGAAAATCTATCCTATATTACCAGTTTTGTCTGGTTTCTTTTTGCACTTTTTATTGTATATGTTCATGTGTACAATAAATATGTTAACACTGAAGAGATCTTTGAATCAGTAGCATAACGGAGGGGCCAGAGGGGAGGGCGCTGACTGGGGCAGCAGCCACGGGAGCTGATTTGGGGTGGCACAAAAATAGCAACTGCTGGCCAGCTGTTACCCCCAATTGCAACTGGCTCCTGTCCCTGCCCAGGGTGCAGAATCCCTTGTCCTACTTTGAATGATGAGGACTGATACACCTGTCATACTAATGTAAGTCAGATAGATTAGTTTAGCTCATAAGATTTGTTCAAAAGAAATTAGGTTAATTCATGACAAATATCTTACCCTGACAAAAGGTAGCATTGATCCTCTTGTAACCTTGAGGGCATTCCAGCATTTGACCATATCCTGGATAAGCTAGAAAAAATGGTTAGTTATTACAATGTGTAACATATTTATTTAGAAAGCCCAACACTTAAATTACTATGCAAGTTTTAAAAAATCATACATTAATATTTTTCAGGTTTCCCCAGGACAATCACTTTGAAGTCAGGAAATACCAAAGTTAAGGACGTACATACAAATTCAGTTGTCTCTTTCTGTGTATGTATGGCTATTGCCTTTAATTATCCAATCAAATCCTGCATCTCAGATAACACAACAACTAGAATAGTTTGAAATTAGGAAACTTGTTCTTTCATTCTACTCATTGTCATATATACTTGACTCATTTTTGCTCAAAGCATCTACAAACACCAGCTTCAAGGAGAGACCAAGCTGCAAAATTTAGATTTGAAAACTAGTTGAGAAATACATAAGCTACTGAAAATAATTGTTAGAATAAGAACATGTCTGAAACCTTATATGGCACATGCTGCTGCCTACATCATAATATATCTGACGTACTTGAAATCCATGGGAAAAATAAGGAGCCTAACATTATATTTTTATAACATTCAACCATCACTACAAGAAAGAAAACATAACTGTGATTTCTCTCTTACTCTTTTGTGTTTTAGAAGTCTCATTTACTGACCATTCATATGTTCTAATATCAATTACAAAGGGCAGAATAACAATAGAAACTGAATTTAGTTAGCCAAACTAAACGGTCCACATCTAAATAAAGTCTTTGTCTTTATTTATTGTTTTTTCTCTACTTAAAATTGATTTGGAGACCTTGAAAACTGTTCATTGACTCTCAAATATAATGTAATACAATGGAGAGGAGTTTCTTCTTTGAGTAATTGTAATACAGTCAAAATGGAAAGTTACATTTCGGCAGCATGTTACATTTTATTAAATATATAAAAATAAACTTTTGGTATTCTGAACTCACAAGTGCTTTAGCAAGTGCCAAGAAAGTATGTACACAGTAAGAATGATATAGCAGAGACACCTTACATTTAGTTAATTATTTTTTCTTTTAAAATATTTTTTTACATATAAACTGAGCCAAATATCTAAAAATAGTTTTTCATCAATACAAAGCTATCAGCTAACAAAGAACTGTTTGAATGGAACACATTTTCACTTGATTTCATTAGCATTGAACATTGGAGTTGCCCATTTATCCCTGAAGCTTAGTTTACCTGGGAACCAGTCAACTACAGAGAAAAAAGAAAGAGGCAAGTGGTAACTTTGTATTGTGTTGTAAGAGTTTAAGATAAAAGAATCATTTGAAATTAATTTTTTTTACATTTCATATTAAAAGGAAATGTATATCTTCTGGAATCAGTCACTGCAGCAGCAAATTTTGGAGCTAAATATTTGCTGTTTAATAATTATTGTGTTTTTGTTCTGCAAATTGCTTAGTTAGAAAGTGTCAGGCAAGGTTCTTTGTGTAGATGTGATATCTTTTATTAGACCGACTGAGTAGTTGGAAAAAGGTTTTTTGCAAGCTTTCGGGTGCAGTCACCTTTCTTCATGCATAGGAAGTCTCTGCTATTCTGAGACTCCAAGGAATGAGAGAAGCTAAAAGTGTGACAGCATGTGAGTGGGAATGTAAATAGGTAGAAATTAGGAAAACAAAAAGGTAGAGTAGGGAAGGGAGGGGGGAAAAATGACAGTGAAAATGCAAATTCCTCCTGATCAAGATTATCTTAACAGGTAAAATGACTAAGTGATACAGTAATACAATAAATATATAATTCTTGTACGTTTCAAAAGATGCAGCTTCCTTTAATTATATTATGAAAAGACATGGGCACGTTACTTCATGTAGTGACATGCAGTCATGGTTTTAAGACACTTGCAATTTCTGCCTTTACTGTGGGTGTAATTATTTGATTTTGAATGAAATAGTTGGACATTATGGCCGCCTATTCATGTGCTCGGAGGTGACGGGGGGGGAGCATTTTAATTAGAGCAATTCCTGGACAGTTGCTCTAATTTAAACACTTCACCATCACATGTACTAAGCTCCTTGTGTGTATTAAGTGTGCGTATTAAGTACCAAAATGCCCACAGGGTCACTCTAACTAAAGCTCATTTGACTAGGTTTAGTTAAAACACCCCTGTGGACGTTCTGAAATATGGGGTGGAACTTAATACACATGATGATGAGGTGATGCTGAAGCGTTCTAAATAGAATGCGGCAGAGCACATCTATAGAAACCCTATGATGTCATGGTTCTAGGGATATCTGCACCTTTATCCTATCCATTGCAGACTTTTCTGATGGCATTTGTTCAGGTGTCAGGCCTCAAGTGCCTTCACCTGTCCTGGGGGTAGAATTCTGCAATTCTCCCACTCCCTCAACTGGGCCCTGCGCATTGACTGTGTTTACACAGCAGGTCTGAATTAATTCTGACACCTGCAGTTCACTGCAGAAGTTAATGGCCAATGGCATGCAGTGACAAGAGAGCCTTCTTAAAACCATAATGTTTAGAAGTAGAAGAAAAGCATTTAGAGATTTAAAAAAAAGATTTACCAACAACAAGCAGTCTCTGTATGCATCTCTCCTATGCAGGGTTTACCATTCCCTGATGGTAAGCCAGGCAACTTATTTTCTTCAGTGTTCCCTCTCTTCCACTCCGAAGACCACTCTTTGGTACCCCTGAATAACTCTGCTCTTTCAAAAGGCCCTTTTAAAACTGCCAGACTTCGTTTATTCTTCCACATTCTTCCCAGGTTCCAGGCACTCTGCATGAAACTAATTTTGTGGGTTGGGTGGGTGGAGGTAGTGTCAGAGTCAGAGTGATGTTGTAGCCATGGTAATCCAGGACTTATGCAAGAATGAAGTCCTGTAAAAGACAGGACCCCCCAAAAAACCTTTTTCTCAAACACAGTAGAACAGGCATTGCTCCCCGATGTTCATCAAGTATTCGCTGAGGGGTCAAACCATACTTTTTTCTTTTCAGCCTGTTTTTCCAGTGAGTGAATATCCTAATAACCAGATTGATGTATATTATCCATACAGAATCCATATATTATTACGAAGCAGCTCCAATTACATCCCAATATTAGTATTTTAAAACAAATGAAACTTACGGTGAAAATTCTCACTATTGCCCTATCTTGGCTCCCAATGAAGTCAACGGGCATGTCTACATGTGTGCTTTAAAGCACAGTAGACTAATTTGTTGCGCATTAAAGCATCACTGTCTACACATGTGCAGCAATTACACTGGTGTGGACTAATTGACTGTGCTGTCAGATAGTCCCATCAGACACACGTACTATCCAACACCAGAGTAAATTACTGTGCTTAAATATGTAGATGGTGATGTTAGTATTAGTTTACTCCAGTGCACATTGTGCTGGAGTTTATTCAGTTACATTAATTGCACAGGTAGATGTGCTCAGTGGAAGTTTTAATACAGATTTAACAAGGAGCAGTTAGGCCATTATTGGGTACATCTACACACGATGTTGAATGTGCTAATTAGCTGCATAGTAAATGTCGTGAGTCTACATGCATGCCCCTATTAGGCTGAAGTAAATTCATTTACTCTGCAGCAGGATAGTACTTGTACTTACAAGTACTATCCTGCTGAAGAGTTTTTTACTCCGCAGAAGCACATGAGTAGGCACTGCCCTGGCTGGCTAGGGCAGAAGATTACTTCAGTGCATGTCTTCTGGCTAGCCCCCTGCTGAATCAGCCTTTTCCCCCAGCCACTCGCTCTGCAGCACACTGAGCTAGGGGGAATAGCCCTGGGCTGGCAGGCTGACCCCCACGGCCCTCTACCACCCAGGGCTACTCTGACCCTGCTAAATGTACTGCAGTCCCGGGTGCACATGCAAACAGCACACATAGAACACTAAGCTTGCATAGACATGCCCAATGAGTTCTTTTATGTCATTATGCACTTTCACTACAGACCCAATTCAATTCTCATTGAAATCAATGACTGCTTCACTGTTATTTTCTATGATGAGGGTGGGGAATCCAGCCAAACTAGGGGCAGTATAGCAGAAATGGGCTTTTTGTCCTTTTCCTAAGGGATAACTGCACTATGGCATCCCTTTTCCTGGTGCGGCTTACTGTCTCCTTCACATCAACTCAGCTATTCTGTACAATGCACTGCTGGATGTAAGGCTGGAACTGAGGCTTCACCAGTCCCATCATTCATTCCTGTTGACTTGTATCTAAACAGGACAAAATGTCTCTGGCAGCCATAACATCATTGTTCTAATTTTCTGCTCATGCTTTTCACTATTCTTAAAAAGAATTAAACTTATAACCACAGCAGCAGTCTTGAGCCAAGGCGTACATACACTGCAGTGCCAAAGTAAAACTTTCAGTGGACAGTATTTAGTAAGTCACTAAAGTACATATTTACATATATGCAAAAGTTCCATTTAATTCAATGGGACTTAACAACATGCCTAAAATGAAGCACATGCTACAGTATATAACTAAACAGGGAAACAAAAGAGAGAATTGTGGTACTGCCTGGTAGTGAAACTTGAGCAATGCTCAAATGCTTTGCTGAACTGGGGTCTTATTGACAACCAAACAGTAAAATTCAACCTGTGCAAAACTTGGCATTATAAAAATGCATCAATCTTAAGGAAAGGTCAGAAAGCATACCACCACAAAAGAGAAAGCCAAAGAAAATTTGTTTTCTTCCAAAATGACAAGTGGGAAAGTAATACCAATTTACAAAAGAAAACTGGAAAAATGACATGGGAGTATCATGACCCTGAAACTGCACCCTGTGAATGAATCAGCAATCAGGCATGATTGCATACCATTCAAATGTCAATGTGTTTAATACTTAATTCCTTCCTAGTCCTTCCTTTCTGGTAGTTTTAAAGCTAAGTCAATTTGCTTAGCTTTATGCAAAATGAGTCAGCCTACAAAATATTTTAAAATAGTAAAAGGGTGCATGGTAGAGAGGGTTTCATAAGAAGGAAGATTCTTTCTTTCAGCACGTACCTGAATAAAAAAACATGAATACATCACGTGTTTA